ACCATCTGTACGTGGCTTCTCTACACTGTTGACACAGAGATCGTCTTCCTTCGAGATGTTATTATTTCCAAGAAGTCCTTAGAGGTAGCATTTGGTACTGAAAAAAGTGTTGTCCGTGAATGATTCGTCATAAGTAAAGCGAATCCACCACGAACAACTTCTCTTCAAGTACCACAGAAAGCAGACAAGACAGACAAGGGGCACCCCCACATCTCCAAGGGCCGTGGTCTGCAACCACCGACCTGTGGGCAGAGTGAACACGGAGCATCAGTAAAGGCGCAGACATTTGTCTTAAGAACACACTGAAATGGTAGGATCATCCACTTACCTCCACTGCAGTGACGCTGGTGCTGTCCCCTTCCCTGGAGCTGGACTTGGGCTTCTGAGTCCACCTGGGCAATGTTTAGAAATGACAAGAGGGAGGCCAGTTGTTTCAGGTCAGGAGTCCTCGGCAGGAGTGTGGACCTCGGGGTTTGTGGACAGGGCCTTGGACTCTCAACACAGCGCACTTCGTGATCCAGCAAGCCCACGGAGGCACCAGCCAAGCTCCTCTGGGTCCCACCAAATGGAGGAAGTTCTGGAGAATGCCTCCTCACTGCCACTGCAGGGGGCTCCTGTGTAGAGGGCCCAGCTCAGCCCCACTGGCATCCTCCGGAGGACCTGAGGGAAACTCACCAAGCTCTTCCTGACCCTGAGAGGCCCCTATTGCCTCCCACCTCCACTGCTCCACCACCCATCTCACCCCAAGAACCACCAAAAAAGCAATTCCAAGAAGGAATCCATCAAAAATGGCTCATTCGCTTTTTCCCAAACAACCCCAGACCAGCAGGACCAGGTTTGATTTCCCCAGGTTCCAGTGGATTCACCACTAGAAGTTCCTCAGAACCTGAATGTGGTCCCCCAAACTCAACCTAAGAACCCATCTCCCACCCATGTCCCACCTGTCACCAGCAAAATCCCTCATGCCCTCCCTTTTCCAATAGCTCTGCCCCCACCCATGGAAGGCTGTTCTCCTCCAAGGACGGAAGGTGCTTTATCTTCTTGTTTCCTATACAACAGGTTGGCAGTGGGCAGACCAAGTCCTGCTTCCTCTTTCCCTTCTTGGTAGTGACACATATGGACGTGCCATTTGGCTGCCCAACGTTGACCCCACAATGTTCTAGCTTCTGGTTACTTTCACACAGTTTTACAGACCCCAGGTCACTGCCTCGCCTTGTGTCTTGGCCATAGAGTAATGAGACCCCCACCACCTTGGCAGACCCACCCCACCACCCTGACTCAGGGTCACCTTTGGGCCTCGGACCCATCCCTTTCCCTGCTTCTCACTTCTGATGTGACTGGGCTCAGCCAATCCCCCCACAATCTGCTGACTCCACCTTCAGGAAGCCCTGTGTGCTCCATGTCTCCCATTTCCATGGTGGATCCTATCCTGGTTCAAGCCTCCATCCCTCAGCTCTTCCAAGATCAGCACAACACCCCGATGGACTCTCTGTCGCAACCCTTGTGGTCAGTGTACCTTTTCGTTGCTCCTTGATCACAACCTTCCTGCAGGTCCCATCTCTCAGAATAAGGTCTGCAGTCCTACTGGAGTCTGTGTCGTCACCCGTGACTCAGTCCAACCACTCTGGCCCTCCTGCCTTTCCTTACTAAATTTGCCAGAGGGTTTGTTATGGGCCATGCCCTCCGGAGGCTCTGACCACATCTCCACAGGGTCCACTCTACTTTACTCCCATTCCCCATCTTCTGAGAGAGCTGTCCAGAGCCCAGATTGAACACAGTGTCCACTTTTGCCTCTCCTGGCACCTTACTCTGATTTCCTTTTCTCCATAAAATTTAACAATGGAAAAAAATTATGCCTCATAGTTAATGTTCACCTGTCCCCCCCATAACATCAACTCCACGTGAGCAAGGACTTCAGCTTGTCCAGTGCTCTTTATAAGTTCCACATCACCTGGAATACAGAACGCACTCAAGTGTTACCTGCAGAATGAATGAATCAGTACTGTTGGTTGATTCACAGACCATATAGCAATGATAATAACAAAATAATCTGGTTTTTTAAAAAGCCCTGTCAAAAAGCACCATGGGCAAGCAGGTATCCTTCCTAAGAGCATGAGAACCAGGGCTGGATGTCACTCCCAGTGGGTGTAAGCCAAGCAGGACACATCAGATATGAAGCTCAGCAGGCTCCTCTAAGTCTCCACACACGTGGCAAGACATGGCAGATGCCCTGTCTCCCCCTAGGTGGGCACTGCTCCAGAAAGCCCCTGCAGGCCACATCTGATGTTCAGAGACTCTCCCCTGGAGCAAAAGTTATAAGAATGACCAAGTAAGTGTCAGTAAAGAGCACTGTCGGAAGGACCCGAGCTCACGCTCCTGCACGTGACTCTGGAGACTCGTCTTACAGAAGGCTGAGGTTCACTTGGAGGCAGATGCTCCGTGTGAGTGGGACTCTCCCTGGGCAGCCTCCTGGGATGGTTTGATGCAGATCCCAACACCACTTCCTGTCAATGACAGCCTTCCAAGGCAACCACCTTGCTCAGAGTTTGGCTTCCGGTCACTGGTGCAGCAGGTGACACGTGTCACAGAGGAAGCATGTGCATGGGATGACTGCCCACCACATACCTTGAATGGGTACCGAAGCCAAGACCTCCTCCCTGAAGGTGGCACTCTGTCCAGGAAGCCCTCCAAAGCAGCATTTGGTACTGAAAAACTGGATGTCCCTGTATGATTCGTCATAAATACAGCGAACACAGCAGGGATAACCACTCTTCAAGCACCGAAGGCGAGCGCGGCGACCACGTCCTCACCAAAGCAGCCCTGCTCCAGCCAGTCCTCCTGAGGATGAATTGGGGACTGAGGGTTAGGAGGTGATGCAGTGGCACTGTCCACCATGTCCATGCTCTCTGGCTAAGCATGCATTCTTGTCCCGGGATGGGCCGGAGGCCAATAGCTCTTCCCAGGCAAGAACCACACCTAACCTTCCCTCACAGAGCTCAGCACGAATCAAGCAAACCCAGCCATGTCTTTCCACAGCAGGAAACAGACAAGGGTGCCACCACCTCTTCTGAGCAGGTGGGCCTCCAGGAGTCCATCCTGAGAAGTCACTGATAGGCAGGGACCGTGGACCAGCTGACATACATCATCTGTAAAATGTATGTTGTCTGATCAACCACCCGCTCCCTATCACGGACAATGCTGCGCGTCAGGTTGGTTCTGCCGAGATGCGTCTCTAAGGAGTCTGTCCTGAAAAACAGCAGTTCCACTGGGATTAGTCACAAGCAGGACATCAGCTTCGATGCTACTCTACCTCCAGCCCTACCGGGCCCTGATGCCCCAGCTTGGAGGACGGCATGACTGAAACCTAACCAAGGCACAGGCTCTGCCGTGGACCATCCTTGCAAGGATCTGGAGGAAGTGCTGATACCAAGGTTCTGCCCTGAAGTTGGGGTGATATCCAGAAAGATTTAGAGCAGAAAAAGTGTTTATAGGGTGAACTGATATGGACAGCACCTTCTCAGGAGTGGTAGTGGAGTCCCCACGCCTCCTGTATAAGGCTGGGGTGTTGATGCTCAAGACAGAGAAAGCCTGCCACCCAACGGGACAGTGTGCCCTGTGGCCCCTGGTACACCAGGCCTTCCTGGACTTTGGCTTCTGGCAGGGTGGGCTGGTTAATCTATGCCATTAGCACCACACTCCCCAGACTGGGAAACTCTACCAGAGAAATGGAGTGGGCACTGATGCCATCTGTCCCCAGAAGTCCTCTAGAGATAGCTCGTGTGGGCCCAGGGATGGCCGGCACCATTATCACATGGGTCCGCCCTCCCCTCTACCTTGTGGTGGCGCTGCTGTAGGTCCATCCCTGATGCTGGGATACCCTCCACCCACTCCTCCACAATTCTGAAATGAGGCTACCTGTGTGGTGTCTGTCACAAACAGTGCAAGAGCACCCTCACCAAGCCCCGCACAGTGACACTGGTAAAAACATCAGCATCCTGTCAGTGTGAGGGCTTCTCCTAACGGTGCAGTGGATCTTCTAAGTCAGTGCACAGGGTGGGAGGACCTTGGTCGACACAACTTGCCCTGGGTCACCCTCATGCACAACCTTAGGAGAAGGCTGAGATTTCCATTGCCATGAAGCTGGTGTGTCCACAGGTGTCATCCCAAATCAACTCCATGCAAAGACCCATCATGCTGGTCACCACAAAGAGATCAAAGTCATCCAGTCAGGGGGGCAGAGCTTTGGGGAAACCCTAGAGTGCTGCCCTTCGTAGAGAGGGCACCCTGTATGTGGTGGGTTCCAGGGAACACTGTCCTTCCAAACTGAGTTCTGGGCCTGCCTCCCTTCCCTATAGCTGAGGGACATCCTGAAGCCTAGGTTCTCTGCCCCAGATGGGCACATCTGCAGGAAGCCCTCAGAGCTGGAGAGCAGCTGGCTGTGTGGTTCCCATCAGCAATGAGTAAGGGAAACCCCAGCCAGGCAGTAGCTGTGCCCCATGGATGTCCACCTGGGGAGGAAGTGGGCACTAGGACCATGACCTTGGTGAGAAAAAGGGAACAAAGCCCATGTCAGCCTGCCTTTGACAGTTGGAGAGGCACCGGGCCTGGGCCCAGGAGGTCTTTATGGAGCAAGTCACTGTTCCTCAAGGACCCAGTGGGCAGAAAACCATGCCCACTCCACCAGAATGCCATCCTGAATGACCTGGGTACCTGGGTCCGTGCCTGGGGGGTTCTGGCCTGGGGATGGGGGCACAGCTCTGTGCAGGTCATAAAAACACATCAAGTTCACTGCAAACAGGACAACGCCTCCCGGGGCTCTTCCCCACGGGCCTTGCTTTTAGGAAGCAGCCCTGACCAGGCTCAGAATCGGGCCGGGGCTCACAGCTCACACAAAGCACACACGCTCACGTGTCTTGTGCGGGTGCCTCGAGGCAGAGTTTGATATTCAAAAAGAGGTTAACCATGTATTATTCATGATGAATGAAGCGAACATAGCACGGATAACCTCTCCTCAAATATCCTTCAATAGTCTGACATGGAAACCATGGCCTCTGGCCACTGTGGTCTTTGCCTTAGAAGATCCTCCATGGGCTGAGCTGAATCCCGGAGGTGGGGAGGCGTGCGGTCACCATCTGTAAAGAAAGCACACACGTTGGCATCAGACCCCAGCACCTCGTCTTGGTCCCAGGGCCTGACACCAACCCAAGCCCCACAGTTGGAACCGTGCTCAGAAAGTGTCCTAAGTGAGTTCAATGGGGAAAAAGAAAACCAGTCTACTACCCCAGCATTCCTGAGAGATGGATCTGATGACCAGGAGCCGGCAGGTGGACGGACGTACAGCCCTGGAGAGCAAAGGCATCATGGATAAGACCTCTTCTGAGAAAACGGGGAGCCACTGGCCCCTGTGGACAGGATCCCTCTTGCAGAGACGGCCTGGGTTCCAGGAATTGCTCCTTAGGACTGACTGGAAATGGAGTGTTACAGAATCAGACGGCCTGCGTCCTCAGTGATGGGGAAGCTCTGTGCACCCAGCACCCGACACGTCTTGCAGTGGGTTGACACCGGCAGGCCCTCCCGGGAGCAGGCCTCGTATCTGGGAAGCCCTTCCAGGCATGATTTGATTTTAAAGAACAGTAATCTCATGACATTTATGCAGAAAGTGAACCCATCACCGATAACCACAGTTCAAACCCCAAAGAACAGCACATTGATTCCAGGAAGTGCCCTCGTGATGGATGGCGAAGGGAATGTGGGGAGACAAGGGACACACATCACAAATAAAGCACATCATCTCCAGCCCCAAACGGCCGCGAGTGTCGTCCACAGACCAGCAGCATTAGCATCACTTGAGAACTTGCTAAAAATGCAGAATCTTGGTCCCTGAATCAGAATCTGCTTTTTAACAAGATCCCTAGCTGATGAAAATCTTAGGAACATTCTAGAGTTCGAGAAACAGCACTCTAGCCAACGACTCAGACACGCAGGCACACCCCACCCCAGAGGTGCTGTGACCACAATGCCTTATTCCAGACGACAGTCTCAGATGATGTAGGTCCCAAAGAAGGCATGAGGCCACGTCTCGCCCACCAAGAATAAACTACATATCCAAATGGGCAGCAGCTTAGGAGCAACAAGAACTAGTGGTGGTCGGAAATGTTCTCATTTCTATCTGTACCACCACAGCAAGTCTTCCGTGCACAGAACGATTCCAAGGATCAGTGGATGCTGGGTCAGACACCCCCAGTCCACCCTCTATGTGCCTAGACAGGTGCTCGACCCCCACACCTCCACAAGGAATCCCTCAAGGCTGAGATCTACTAAGAAGAGAAAGACAGACGAAAGATGGTCAGTAACTTCCAAGCAGAACACTACAGCCCCAAACCCAGGGGCGTCTGCACACCAGAGCTGATGTTAATCCGGGGCAATCACACGGGTGGTCTGCATTCTGGGGTCACTGAGTTAGTGATGACAGATTGTCAGTGAAGTCACAGTCCGTGGTGGGGCAGGCACCGATGTCCTCTTGCTGAAGTCAGCACTGTGCTCGAGAAAACTTCTGAAGCAAGTTTGGATACTAAAACAATGGTTGTCCGATATTAATCATCATAAATATAGAGACCATACTACGGACAACCATTCTTTAAGCACCAAAGAACCGCACCATCAAAGGAGACCTTGGCTTCTTCTCCAAAGACAGGGGTCTCTTCCGGCATGTTCTTCTCAAGTGGTCCAGACCAGAAGGGTTAGTAGGTGAGCTTCACACACTGAGAGTCAAGACATGCCTGGGGGGCGTCAGTCACACCCTTGGGCAGGAGAAGGGGGTCTAAGCTGATAATCTGTCCCTGAGCTTGGCTCCATGTCCAAGAGGTGCTTCCAAGAAGCAGAATTTGATAAGCTGTCACCCACGAGAAAGGCCCGTGGTCCTCGCAGATCTGTGACAGCACCAAGGAGCCCGCTGGCCCCATGCCAAGCTTGGCCCCACCTCTAGGGCCCTGGGGTGGGGCATAGCACCCACCTCACGCCAGCTGCATGCTCTCTCCCCACCCAGGGAGAGGCTGGCACATGCATGTCTACAGAACTCCTCATGGCGTCCAGGAAGTCCGCCGAGGCAGGATTTGATACTCAAAAAGAAATTGTCCTTGTATGATTCATCCCCAATAAAGTGAATACACCAAGGATAATTTCTCCTCCAGTGTGACCAGCAGCAAGGTGGAAAGATTAGCACCCCCCAATACTCTGGCCCAGTGTTGGCTGGTGACTGCAATGAGCACCACGTGCATGCAGGACATATGTGCATGCAGGACACATGTGCTGTGGAGGGCCTCTCTTTATGCACCAGGGAGGCAAGATGCCACAGCACTACACCCTACTCAGCCTGGCATCCTCACTCAAGGGCCCTTCGAAGATGATGGAGGTCAAGAACCAGGGCCTGTATCTCTTAAGTGGAGCAAACATCCTTGGTTACCCTGCAGAGGCAAGTCTGCCAATCCCCTGTCCTGGGCACCGTGTTCCAGGAGCCTCTGGGGGAATGGCTTAGCTGCTGCGCTTCAAGAGTTTTGGTGGCACCCATCCTAAATACAGTATGAGCCCTGACTCCATAAGCCACTCACATACCTGATGGAGAATGTGACTTCCATATCAATACTGTCCCCAAAGCCCAAGAAGAGATTTTGATATCAGCACCAGCATCACCAACACCAGAAATAACACCTCACGGCCCGTGGCATCAGGGCCACTCCCTACAAAGTGCCGAGCACCAGGCTATCCCAAATCTGGACTCATTCAGCCCCGGCACCCCTGCGAGGCAGACACCCACACAGTTCCCATTTGACACGAGAGACAACAGGCACAGCATGAAGGCGTCTTGCTCAAGGCTGCAGTTAGGAAATATCAGAGGCAGGATCCAAACACAGGAAAACCGGGCTCCAGAGTCTGCGCTCTTGATACTGAAAAAGTGGATGACCCTGTACGATTCGACATGAGTAACACGAACAGGACAGGGATAACCACTCTCCAAGTACCAAAGGTCAGCACGGAAAAGAAAGCCACCACCCCGGGTGGGCGGACGCGGAATGTCTTCAAGGCGGGGTCCTGGGGATGAATTAGATGCTGAGGGTTAGTGGACCAGGTCACACACACCAAGCACGACATGCACACTCAGGTCATGGAGGAGGATGGATCCACTGCCCCACACCAGCACTGACCCGGCCCTCAGCCCCGCCTGGAGGCTGCCCGCGTGGAACAAGGACCCAGACCACACACAGTGCATGCGTTGGGGCCCACCCACACAAGATCAGGACAGGGGATGTCCCCAGGCCTTCCATGAAGCCGTCCCTGTGCCCACGAATCCGTCTGCGATCTTCCACACACGAGATGGAACACACACGGTCATGCACACACATACCGCATCCCTCGCTGAGTGTGCACCGTCCAAGACAACGTTTGATACTCACAGAGAGCTTGCCCTTGTATATTCCATGTCAATAAGCCGAATATACAAAGGGCAACCTCGCTTTAAGTACCAAACAACAACACGGGCAGGTCAGCACTAGCATTCCGGGGGCCGGCCCCGTCTCCCGGTGGGCATCCTAGGGAGGGATGGGAGGTACGGAATCAGCAGACCAGGGGGCAGACACCACCTGCCAGGTGTGTGCCCACCGGCCAGCTCTCCATCCCAGGAACCCAGGGAGGGCAGACTCTGATGCCCCATCACTGGCTTTACTGCCTCAGCAGGTGCCATTGAAGGACGTGCACAGGGTGCTCGGCCTCTCACTGTCTACAGGACCCCCCCGGGAGAGGGACCACTGTCTCTAGTGTAGGCACCTCCTCTAGAAGTTTCCCTGATGATGCATTGTACTCAGAGGGTAAGGGACCCAGCAAATCTACATGGCGGGTAGAGCTAAGGCCCTGTGGTCACTTTCCTTTCTACCTCCCATAGAGGCACTGACAAATGTCTCCCCAGGGCCAGCTCCTGTCCTAACTTCCTCGCAGAGAGGCTGACATCATGTCCATGAAGTCAGGCTGGGGAAGAGTTGCTTCTGAATGGAGAAGCCGTGTACCACTGTGAAAATGGAGAAAACAGCTCCCCACTCAGGGGCATCAGCCCCGGAGACACCCTTAAGAAAAGAGCAGGTGGTGGCTGTGACCGGTGAGCTGGAGCTCCGCTGCCAGGTGGGACACTCACCTCCTCCACAGGACGGTCGTGTCCCTTAGACGGCTGCAGATGCCCTGCCGGACGCTGGCTCAGGTCCACAAGACTCTGGGGCACGCAGAGCATGAAAGCAGACGGTCACATGTCCCCAGAAATGCCTCCGCCAACCCAGACCCAGAGCAGCTTCTTCAGGCTGTTGTCCTATGGGTGAACGGAATGCTGCGGTCAGAGGACTAGGACACCAAGGTCACAACAAAAGCATTTACCCTCTGACCTTCCAGCATTCACGCACCTGGTGCAGGGCTGATGGCCCTCACAGCTTGTTCCCAGGGACAGCTTCCTGTGCAGGACACCATCGCAGGCCGGACTTGAAATGACAAATGACAAACACAAATAGGTCTTACAGATTTGTCTCAGGGACCATGAACTGGAAATCGTCCACCCACAGACCAAAGAGCAGCATTAACGAGCAAACCTTGGCTGCTCCACAAGGCGATGGCACTTCTGGGAGGCCCTCCTGGGTTGTCATATGCATCAAACCATCGTGAACATGGATGGTGACGGTCCTCTGTGGCCCTCGGTCACTCAGTCACTCATGCTACCCTTGAAAGTCCGACATCACAGCTCCCTTCTAAGGCTGACCCTGTGAGCCAGCAGCCCCTGGATAAGAGAAAGAGCAGATGCAAGTGAGATTCATCTTTAAAAAGCAGGCAGCATCGTACCTGGCGCGACCCCTTGCCACCCCGCCAGCTATGGGACCAGGACACCTGGACGTACCTGAGCCGGGCTGACATGAAGGGTTCGTCCTGGAGTACAGCTGAGCCGGGGACGTCCCAGACAGAATTTGATACTCAAATAAGAGTCTCCCCCTGTATATTCGCCATTAATCAAGTAAACATACAAAGGGTATCCTCTCTTCAAGTACCAAAGAGCAGGTCACAGAGCAGGTGAGGACCACGCTGTGTGCTGGCCAGAGTGGACGCTTCACCTGGGGGCCTGGGACAGAGTAGGGGGCAGTGACTGGCCAGCTCGGGAGCTGAGACCTCACCTTGAAAGGTGAAAGATCCAGGATCCCCTGGCAGCCAGCAGAACTGACTTCCAAGACAGGGAATGGCCGGGCCATCAACGGAGTCAACATGCACCCAGGAACCCACTTCAGACCACCAGGCCCCGGAGGACGGAAACACTGCCTCTCTCTGAAGGGACTCACATGGGCTCCACAAACCTGAGGATGTGGCTTTCCAAGAAGAGGCATCCAGAGTCCTTCTCGGGTCTGAGTGGTGACACACACCAGTGTCCCTTCTCGGAAATGACTGAACTCAAGAGCGTGTCACCTGCACCTGCCTCAGAACACACAGAAAGCAGATCCTGAATCACAAAGGTCACATACACCCCCAAAAGGCATACTGTGGTGCATCCCCACTTGACAATGTTCCCAAAGAATGGCCAGAGGGGTCAAGTGACATTCCTAACACAAGAGCAGGCTCAGGGAACTCAACTCAGTCACTTGCCTTAGAATGGCAGTGACAGCAACGTCTTTCATCGAGGTCACCGCCCCTCGAGGCTGCAGCCACAGGGTGACCAGCACATCCGCTCAGCACGGGCTCCACGGTCCCCCTCCGGCTGTGTCCAGGAGTTGTGAGCAGGGAGCTTCCAGGTGGGACTTGGTACGGAGAACGGGCAGGTCCTTGTGCAACTCGTCCTTTAAAAAGCAGGCAGCGCGGCACTGCATGCGGGCGGTAGCAAGCAAGAAAGCCCTCACCACCCACCAGCTGGGCACGGCCTCCAGGGGAAGAGCCTGGCACCTAGGGTGCAGGGAGGGCCGGGCACCAGCAGCTCAGTGCTGTGGGACCAGGACACCTGGACATACCTGAGCAGGGCTGACGTCAGAGGTCCGTCCTGAAGTAGAGCTGAGCCAAGAGCGTCCCAGACAGAATTTGATACTCAAATAAGAGTCTCCCCCTGTATATTCGCCATTAATCAAGTAAACATACAAAGGGTATCCTCTCTTCAAGTACCAAAGAGCAGGTCACAGAGCAGGTGAGGACCACGCTGTGTGCTGGCCAGAGTGGACGCTTCACCTGGGGGCCTGGGACCGAGTGTGGGCAGTGACAAGCCTCATCTGGCTGGCTCTGGAGTGGGGCCCACACCCTGCACACCGTGACCGGGCCCTGACGTTGGCTTTGTTCCCAACATCACTTCAAGACCGGGCATCCCGCACGGCTTGGCTCAGAGGGAAGGGGAACGTCTGGCCTCCCTCTGGGGTGTGCAAAACCACCTGGCAAAAGAATCAGTGCCTCTGACCAAAGCCACTGCCTCCAGGAGGTCCTCCTGAGGAACATGGGCTAGCGGGAGTGGGAACTGCCAACAGCATGCATCGTTAAAGGAGAGAGAAACAGGAATCAGAGCTCGTGAGTGACCACCCCTCGCAGCGGGCAGCAGCGCTAAGGCAGGCGAGCCTTCCCCTGGGCCTGGGTTCAGAAATCGCCGAGAGCCCTGAGCTGTGACCCTCAGTGACCCATCAACATTAATGCTCAGATGCCTGTGGACAGGGAGGGGGCCTGCAGTCCAGGCCTTCTCATCCCAGTGGCACTTCTGGGGCCACCCTTACTGGAGACCAACGCCCCCTCTTCTTTTAAGTGGACAATAAGGTCCAAAAGTCACTCTGAGGGTGGGTGAATATGGGGGTTGGGGATGCCACATGACAAACTTTTAAAAGTGGCCCTGACTTGCTGTTGGCCTCTCATGCATCTGGGAGGTGCGCCTACACCTGGGCAGCCCTGCCGGGCCTCAGCCCCGTGGGTGCTGTGCCCACCAAGGAAGGCAGCATTTTCTAGACAGAATCGCAGCTCTGCAAAGAAAACAGCGAGCCACCTCCAAGGACAGCACCTCCCCTACAGGGTTCTTGGAAGGACGCGTGGATGGGAGGGTCAGAGGACATGATCACAACCGGAAGAGGCAAGTCTGGCGGCCCAGCGCGTGTCTGCGGGCCCTGCAGCAGTCCTGGCTCTCCGACCTCCCGGAAGCCTTGTTCCCAGGTGGCTCAGGACGGATTTGCTCCTCGCAGAGAGCTTGCCCTTGCATATTCATGGCAAGTAAAGCAAACACACAAAGGATAACCTCTCTTCAAGTAGCAAACGATAGCACTGACAGCAGAGTCACTCCCTGTGGCAAAGTGGGCAGCAGCTCCAGGAGTGGCCCTGAACAAACAGATGGGTAGGCAGAGTTAGGGGGCAGAGCCCGGGCGAGGTGTGAGCCAGGACACGCACCCGTCCAGCCCTCCACACCCCAAAGCCCGCCCTGACCCCCACGGGGCCCCTTCCTGAAACCCACAGCCCACCCAGGTATCCGCTACAGTGGCACTGGTAACAGAAGAGGAAACCCGAGAACATCCCAGACGTGGTGACACCCAGGGAATGGGCTTTGTTCAGGGTCACTGGGACCTTACTGAGATCACAGCCTCCTCCCCGTGCTTATGTAACCCAGGCAAGAAAGAAACCTGCGCAGGGCAGGAGGCGGGTCACCAAAGCCCAACCTCTGCCTGTGCGCGGCTGCACCCGGGAGGTGCACGACGCACCCTCCTTTCCACGGCCCTTCCCATCGACGGAGGTTTCCAAGCAGCATTTGATACTGAAAACGTGGATTTTCCTCTATGATTAATCATAAATAATGTACTCATAGAAGGAGAATCTACCTTTTAAATACCAAAGAAAGATTGCATCCCGGAAAACGTGAATCTGCGCTTGTGTCGTCAAAAATGAAACTCCATAGAGCGGGCGGGCTTCCCCAAAGAGCAGGAGCCACAACCCACCAACGCGCTCGCCACATCGGCCGCTCAGCACCCGTCCATTACGATGACGTGACACGGGTTCCCCCATCTTTACGCCCACCTGGGCCCTACAGCCTCTTCCAGAAATACTTCCAAAGCAGCATTTGATACTGAAAACATGGATTTTCCTCTATGATTAATCAAGAATCACGTAAACATAGAAGGAATATCCACCTTTTAAATACCAAAGGAGGACTGAGTCCTGGAAGGGAAAATCTGGCCCAGCTCATCACAGCACACCCAAGAGCGCCCGTTCTCCGTCCCCAGCACTGCCAAGGTGACAGGGTGCCTGGCCTCTGCCAGGCGGGCTCCTCCGTGAGGGGGCGCCTAAAGGTGACCGACGGCAGACGCGTGGCAGGATGCGGGGCACACGTCCCCCATCTGTGCACTTACCCGAGGCTGCACCCGCCTCGCCTCTCTGAGGACGGGTTTTGTCCCACACGCGAGTTCCCAGGGCCGCATTTGATACTGAAAACGTGGATTTTCCTCTATGATTAACCATCAAACACGTAACCATAGAAAGAAAATCTACCTTTTAAATACCAAAGAAGACTTAATCCTGCAAGGTGTGGACTAGGCACAGTCCATCGGAAGCACCAGGGACGCTGCACAAGAGAGATGGGCCGTCGGAGGCTGTGACAACAGCCTCGCCCCTGTGCCCAGCGGGCAGCACGAGCGGGGGTCTCCTAAGACAAGCGGGTGGCCCCCAGACATATGGCACAAACCAAGCACATGCTCTGAGGTCCACCCTTGGTGCACTTACCCCGAGGGGCACCTACAGTCTCCCTGATGGCAGCTCCAGTCCAGGCCGTTCCCAAGCAGCATTTGATACTGAAAACGTGGAATTTCCTCTATGTTTAATCATAACAACATAAACATAGAAGGAATATCCACCTTTTAAATACCAAAAATGGGTTTAGTCCCGGAAAGCATGAGCCTTAGCACAATCCGCCAGAAGCAAAGGTCACACAGGACAGGCCCCCTCAGCACAGGCCTCGTGGGATGGCGGCAGGGATGCCGAGCCCTGGAGGACAGGGGTCCCAACGACAAGCCTTGCCAACAGAAGCAGAGGCTCTGGGATGTGCCTACCATCTGCTCCCTGAGGGGTTCTGAGGTCAGGACTCTCTGGAAAACAACTTTTAGGTGGGTCTTCCATCTATGTTTAACCATGAATCTTGTAAACATGGAAGGAACACCCACCCCTTGGGGATCAGAATCTAAGCTACTGTGGAGGCACCAACCTGCACGCAGGGCGTCAGGACTGACCACTGGAGGTGGCAGCACATTCTGGCCTCCCCGTAGGAGCTGGGATGCCAGCCCCATCTCTGTGGTCCACTTGGTGGACCCATGACTAGGCATAGGATCTGGGTCAGCCTGGCTGCCACTTGTCCTGGTAGGGGACACCCTAACGTCTGTGCCCTCACGAAAACTCATGGCAACATTTCATTCTGGAAAAGCAGAACTTTCAAACAGTTCCCCATAAAAAAAAGCCAGCAGACTAGGGATTCTACCCTTTCCGTTCTAAAAATGTCAAGGACAAAAAGAAAAACCCTGCAGGGTCCCCAGAGCCAGCGTCATCTCCATGCAGCCCTCCTGAAGCAGCAGCGACAGAGATCCTACCAAAGCATGAGCTGGAGCATCCCTTCACGTACCTTGGGGAGTAAGGATGACAAAGAACCTTCCGGAAAGTGAGGTTTGAGTCCAGAAGGCTCCAATGGGCTGCGTTCAGTGGCGACGTACAGACTGGTAGGAGTGGGCAGACAGATCACAAACAAGGTCTGCTCACACACAGGGTGAGGGCAAAGCAAAGCCCAGCAGCCACCAGCACCTCACCACCAGCTCCCCGCAAGACGAGCACAGCACCCCAACTCCACCCCGGGATGCCCTGGATGCAGTCTTTACCAAAAGAGGTACTGTGAATTCTCGGAAAAACGTGCCTCCCAGAGGACCACACCAAGCACCAGAGTTTCAAGTTCAGTTTCCATCTTCAGCAAGACTGCCACCACCACCACCAGGAAGTCCTCCTGAAAACAGATTTGGTGCTGAGGACAAATGGGCCAAGTGACGTTCTTCACAAAAGAATGGCGACCATTCAAAGACCACACAGAGGAACCGAGACCAATCTCACTTCTCCAAAGTTGGAACTGGTTCAAAAAAGTCTCATGTCTGCTGCTCACCAGGCAGAGTCCAGCATCCCTGCTAAGGAGGCCCCCGGGCCAGGAGATGAGCGGGCTGGGGGACAGCCATCATCTATCTAGCAAGAGCTAGGACACCTAGATGAGCTAGTGTCACCTACCAGGCACGAAGCAGCCTCCCCAGGTGTGATGACCTCCGAGAAGCCCTGTGAAGAACAAGTGAGACATGGCTGGTTAGGGGACTGGATGGGCTCAGCGACAAAGTCTGTCTTCTCTGCAACCACACATCACTCGTGCATGCCCCATCGTGGTCAGAACTCTCTAAGCTGCTCTGGAAGTTCCTGCAAGCAAGGCCTGACGCTGTGAGCATGCTATCGAGGAGTGACTCCCGGCAGGCCGACGGTGGTGGCACTTTCTTTCTTAACTTAAAAGCAGATGCCAGGGGCCCTGGACAAATGTAGTGCTGCACCAAGTCCCCTTGTCAGGGACCCTGGGCACAGTGCCCGTCCACCCACTGTCTTTCCAAGGACTGGGCATCACTCTCTGAGCATCCTGAGTGGCCAAAATGGCAGTTGTGGTCCCAGAGGTTAGTTAGCATCCGCTCACTCGTTCATCAGCTCTGGGTGTCACTGTCACCTTCAAAGCCTACCAGTCCCGAAACGGCCCTGCTTGAAATCAGGTGCTGGTCCACAGATCCTGAGGAGCAGCCTAAGTAGCAGGGGCAAGGCCTCCAGGAGACCCAGGGGACATCAGCCAGAGGCCAACTAGGAGAGAGAGGACAAGCCCCTTGAGGGGCTGGGGTGGCCCTTTCTATCAGTCATCTGGAATCGCTCCCTCAAGCTAAAAGGAGTCTGGCCTTTAAAAAGGAAAGCGTTATTGCAACAAGGTCTCATTAACATCAGCTGAGTAAGGGAGCCTCAGGACCCCACTGTGTGTTCATGAAACCCCTCTTCGCCTCCTGTCCCCAGCACATTTTCTCAGCCTCTGCCAGTGCCTGGTCTCTCCTCCTGAGAGCTAAGCTTCGGAAGCCCAGGGATGAGGGGGACTCTTCTCACGAGTCTGAAGCCAGCTTAAGCGTGGTTTTGTTCACATTTCATCGTCAGTTCTTTAAAAAGAAATTGCCATTCTAAAGCCCGATTTTTAATGTGTAGATTTACCTTCAGAAACAAGATTACAGGGCAGTTCACTCCATCTAGCCTCAATTCTCAAAGTGAAAATTAAATCAAGGGAACACTTTCCACCTGGCACACCACCTGCTCACACGCCCTCGGCCAGGGCAGACACTGCATCCTGATTCTACACCCACAGCAAGACCCTGAGGATGTGTTTCATGTTAAAAAGGGGTCGACTTTTAGCCTCCGCCCCAGAGCAGCCGTGTCAGGAAACCTCCCTTTGGGCCCTCAGGCCAGATGCCGACGTCCTGTATCTCTGCCAGCTGCCAGGTCATCTTCCTGCAAAAGAAAGACAGAGGATGTCAGTACAGAGGAGACAGGTGCCATCACCAAGAGGCTGTGCCCGGGACCTGCCTGGGACGTCCCAGGGCGGTGCAGGTGACAGTGCATCCCTGACAGAGCGGTGGGGCTCGGAAGTCCCCCGAGGTGGGAAGGGAGGCTGCTTCTGAAAGAAGACAGGAGCTGTCAGCGTCCCTCAGACACCCCTGGACAGCCGCTCCTCATACCCCCCAGGTGACTCAGAACCAGAGTCCCTTCTAGGAGGCCTGAGGCTGAGGTGGCCTGTGTTGTACCCAGGACACAGGGGGGACATATTCTGCCAGCTGACTGTGCAGATCAGGAGAGCCACATCTTGGGCAGTCTGTCCCCGTGGACCTCCTGACACAGACAGCCACTGTTTTCTAGAGGTGTCTTGGTCCTCTGTGTGTCCACTGAGGCCAGAATGGGGCAAGCTCTCATCTGAGGCTGCCATCAACCTCTCTTCCAAGAAGCTGCCGTAGGACTTTGGAAGTGGAAGTGGTGATGCTGAAACAGAGGCCACCCACACTCCCTGAGATGAACAAAGCCAGTGGACAATCGAGTCCCAGCATGCAGCCCCGGAGCCACCCCATGGCCTCTCATCCCAGCTGGCACAGCTCCCCAATCCTCCTGGGGTCGAGCCAGTGGACCAGGAGATCCATGTCCCTACACCACTCTGTCTGGAAAGCACCCCTCACTCATCCCAGAGCTGTTGATGTCACCAAGGCCCCCAGCTCAGTTTCCCTCCAAGAGGACATGCCGCCACCCAGAGGAGGCAGGCCAAGACTTATTGGTCATAAAGGACAGACGGGAACACCTGACTCTGAGTACCACAGCACTAGAACTGGTGCTGCCCGGGCTGCTGGCCACGGGGGCAAGCCTGTGGTCAGACACCGAGTGTCCTGAACCCAGCCACAGCGAGTCAATGGGAGCTGCCCTTGGGTAAGTCCTCCACGTACATACCAAGCAGGGCAGTGCCACTGAGCGTTCCGTCAGGGCAGGGAGCTCCTCAAGGTGAGATTTGATACCGAAAAAGAAGTGCACCATGTTTGTTTCGTCACATACAAAGCGAAAATAACATGGGCAACTTCTTTTCAGGTACCAGAGGTCAGCTCTTGCTCTCCTCCAGCAGTGCACCTGGGGAGGGACACCGGGGCAGGCAGTGGCGGGGGCGGGGGGGGGGCGTGCAGACACCTGTAACCACACGTGCATGCACCTGGTGGAAGGAGAAAGCCGCAGCAGGGGCTCACCTGGAGGAGGCAGATACCAGAGGCTGCGGGGCAAGGCCATCTGAGCAGAGTGGAGCTGCAGCATCCATCAGGGAAGAGGCCAGCGGGCCAGCTCTCTCTGCTTCAGGACCCCAGGGGTCCCCAGAATCCAACAGCAGGACAGGGGTGCCATCCGCACACGCTCACGGAGAGCTGAACTTCACAGGAGCTTCCTGGACCCCCAGAGAGACTCTCCTCCCTGAGGCTCGAGACAGAGTCCTCTTCTCCAGACGGAAAACAGGGACATTGAATGAGGTGACATGAGTCCCCACAGAGCATTTCTCCAGCGCCCACCCATTCACCTGCCTGGCATGCTCTGACTCCCAGGTCTCCTCCTAAGGCCCTGTTCCAGGAAGGCATCGTTAGCTTCTCAAAAGCTGGGGCTGGCCTGTGACTTGTGACAAATACAGCCAACCCATGACAGGAGCCACAGACCAGCAGGGACAGCAGATGAGACCCCAGAGTCAGCACTGCTGGCAGGAAGTCCTCCCAGGGAGGGAAGGAGCTGGGTGAGGGGCAGTGGAGGGGCTCTGGGCCCACCCCGTGTGGGTCTGCAGCAGAGGGGCAGTGGTCCTTCCCTGGACACTCAGCACAGTCAACGTGTGGTCATCTGTAAATGAGAACACCAGGTCACTGTGCTTGAAGCACACACTCGGTAAATCCATAAGAAAAAGCCCCCTTTCGCTGAGAATCTGCCTTAGAGAGGACAATGAGGACAGTCTACCAAGAGAAATGCATAGCAGAAAGGATACAGTCACAGTGACAGAAGAGTGGCACCATCTGTTCGTATCATAGTGAGAAAGCCCATCCCACAGGGGCTTGAGCAATAAGGATGGACAGACTTATGAACTGACGGGTGTAGAGGCAGAGCAGTCAAGCTCAGGCAAGGTTTGATCTAGGTCTCAGGTAGAACTCTGTCACCAGGTCCCAGCTAGGTTCCTCACTGTCCCGTCTGCCCTTCAGGGTACAGCACTCCCCTTCTGTGTCTGCACAGCCCCATGCCCTTTCCTCTATCCCTGAAGTGGCCATGGCACCTCTAAATCTCACATCATCACATGGCACAGCTCCAGGGAACAGAGAGGGTCTGCTGTGGTAGCTCTGTCGGGACAGCGAGCGCGGTCTCCTTTCCCAGAAGCCTTAGCAAATATCTCCCTGCACCTCATTGATCCAGTGGGGAAGCGGCCCCTCCCTGAACCAATCACAGCTGCGGAGGGGCTAGAGCAGCCAAGGCCCTGAGATCTGCAGGTGGACGAGGGGGAGGTGGATCCAACCCAAGCCACGGGCAGGAAGGGAGGAGTCGGCTAAGGAAAACCAGGAGCAAAGACATGGGGTGGTAGGATCCTGACCAATGTCCCCCTCCAATGCCACCATGCTGTCTCCCAGGTGGCAGCCGAACCGAGACGTCTTCGACGCAGAATAGGATACTGAAGGAGAAGTGCACCGCGAATGTTTCGTCACAAATCAAGCGAAAAAGACACGGGCAACTTCTCATTAAGCACCGCACGCCAGCACTGCAGGTGACAGGCTTCTCTGTGGTGGCATCACCTCTGCTGACTTCCTGAGAGCGAACAGGCATCATTAGGGTCGGGTGAGCCCTGGGCCCAGGAGGCCCTCGTGGGGGGGATGTGGACAAGCCCCTTTTATGTGATTTTGAAATCTGAAGTACCAGAGGGTGCTCGCCACATCAAAGTGCTGACTCTGCTGCCCCAGAGTCCTCTTGGGACAGAGGAGGGGAGGAGAGTGACATGACAGTAGCTTCCCTTGCTGGGCTCCATTCCACCCCATCAGAGGAAGGCAAGGCCCTCCCCAGCACCAGAGCATGCCTCCCAGTCAGCAGCACCTCAGGTGACAAGGGTGACCCAGGGCCTGGATGCGGGGTCAGGGAGCTGGCGGGCATTTCCACTTACTGTCTCAGCCTCCGCTGTCACTGCGGGAGCCCAGGAGGGTGACGGGCATGGGGCATGGAGTGACCCCCAGAGAGTAGGCCTCTTCTCCAGAATCCGTCCTGGGCATAGAGGGAATGCCTGGGATTGGAGGAGCAGGAGGCTCCCATTGTGAACACCCAGCATACCTCTCCATGAACCACGGCTCCAACATCCTGCCCTGGGGCGGGTCCCATCCAGAAGGCACCGTAGCCAGCACCTGGTGCTGAGAAGATGCGCTGTTTGGGTCCTTGTGCGTCCATCAAAGCTGGGCGACAGAGGAAGAGGTGAGCAATGACATCATGTCCCTTCCACAAGGCCTGGGTGTGGCCCTGAAGTCAGCCCAGGGAGGGCTGGATTATGTGTAGTGACGAATCTGAGGGGCACGTTAGGACCACACTGCCAGGTCCTTGGTTCCCCATCCGTCACTCACCAGCGGTGCTACTGGTACCCATGACCCTGCCTGGATTTTGGCTTCACATCCAAGAACTCCTCCAGGGGCCATCGGTCATTGAGGAGAGAGGAGCCACACACCATCTGTTAGCATGTGACAATCTCCTCAGCCTGTGTTCAAGTGCCACAGCCCAGGCTGACGTCACCCTCAGCGCCGTCTCCCTCCCCCTGCCCCAGGCTCCCAGGGATGAGCCGCGGTGGGTGGCACACGTCCCCCATGCAACAGTGCTGTGGACTGCGTCTTCCCCGGGCAGTGGTGCCCAGGACTCTTCCCCACGCCCTCTGCAGTCACTCCTCCCCACACCCTCTGCTGTCCCCTCTGGGCAGCATTTGACACTGATGGTTGCTTCTATTTATTTAACAAAGGTAGGCCCCTGAGTGTGGTCCCCCTTTAAATATCAGAGGTTCACGTGAATTCTCCCACATCTTCTCCAAGTTGGCACCAAGATGTCATCCCACAGGTGGACTGGGTGCTGATGGATAGTGAAACAGGTGACCTACATCGTGAATGAAGTGCACGTCACCGGTCTACCATCCCCTCAGCCACCCTGCAGAGCAGTTGGCATGACAGTGCCTTCAGTGATGTTGCTGGCGTGTCCTGACGCCACCTGAGCAGGACCGCACCCCGTGGAACCGCCGCCCACCATGGGTCCTCAGGCGGACGAGGCCACAGGGAGCAGTCTCCTCAGCAGAGCCTGGCTTTCCTTCGAAGGCAGCGCTGGGTCCAGGGCCACCCCCAGGAAATGTGCCACACGGTCCACCTTCCTTGAGTCTACCCAGTGGAGCTGGCCATGTCCCTTCCCTGAAGGCTTCATCAGACACAGGAAGTGCCTCCAGGGTGGGATTTGATACTAAAAAAGAGGTTTCCCGTGTATGTTTCATCATGAATACAGAGAAGACAACACGGACAACCTCTCCTTCAAGTATCGAAGATGAGCGCGGAGCAAAAAAAAATAAAGAAAAAAAAAACCACCCCCAAACAGAAACACCAAAAACGAAAAATGTAAAACTGAAACAAAACTGCCGAATCTTCGCCGATGATGGTGTCACCTTCAGGAAATTGTCGCCCGTCTACACTGCACCCTTAGACCAGGTGTCGTACGTCTATGCCGGGACAGTCTGACTTAACGTCTGCCAAAGACCCTTCAGGTCGCCCATGAAACACTGCCCACCATCATGAAGACCATTGGGTGCACACCCTCCTGAGGTGGAACCAGGGTCCCTGGAAGGGTGGTTTGACGTGAGCTGACACCCAGGCCCCAGGGGGCGGCCAGCTGTGGGTCCCAGCAGCTTTCCAAGCCAGGTGGGACTCTAAAAGCAGATGTGCGGCATCAGGTTAGTGCAAAGCACAGGGAGTCCCAGCAGCCTCCTGCTGACGGGGGTTAAACACCAGGAGCAACCCCCCCCCCCCCCAGACAGCACAGCAGGCCTCCCCTGCCTCCGCTTAACTCAGTTAAGGGACAAAAACATTTCATTTCCTGGAGATTGCTCGCCAGATGTTGATGCCAGTTCCAGGTTGGCTTTTCTATTTGCCATAAAACTCTGCTGACCACAATTTTTTTAATTATGGGGGGTAAGTATCTCCTTAAGAGAAGCAGACCAACCCTGATGGGACTGGAGCGACCAGAGTGGGGTCACGGCACAGAACATTCATGGTTTGCTCTTCACAGTTGTACAGTGTGTCCTCCTTTCTGCCCAGGATGGACAGGGGAGAGGGTTTCGGAGCCCTGCTGCTTCCCTGCACCCTCTCATTTGTCTCTGGACCCCACAGAGTGCCCGGCCTGCAGAAGCTCAGCAGCTGCCTGCCCTGGAGGCCTCAGGGGCAAGGGCACACTCCCCAGAGCCACCTCTCTCAGGCTCACTTCAGGTGGAAGCAGTGGTGTTGGGCACCCGCTGGGTAGACTTGGCTATGCCAGGCAACCCTTTCTCAAGTGCCATCGATGAATCGAGAGCCCAGAATCGTGCCTATAAACAGCAACAGCAACCCACTTCTGTGCCTTGGCTTTAGAGGGAGTGGAGAACCACCTCCCTCCTCCAAGGTTGGGTCACTCCGGGAAGTGCCCGAGAAGGCCAGGGCACCCGTAGCCCCAGCAGACATGTGTGCAGAGCCCACTTGCCCTGGAGGAGGCTGGCAGAGAAGTCTTCTAAGCTCGTTTCTGATACTGAAGAGCAGCCTCCAGAAATGATTTACTGTAAGGAAAACCACACAGCAAAGAAAACCTCCTCAATGCCACCGAGTGGAATCACCCACAGACACAGCCTCTTTCTGAATGCCCACACTGCCTCCCAGAGACGAGCAAAAGCCCACGGGAAAGCCCATGGCCTGTGGTCAGCCATCCACTTGCTTCCCCTATGTTCGCGTCACCCTTTG